AAATGCTTCGAATAAAGTCTAGATTCGTTTTAGCGAAAAAAAAATTTTGGGGTTAGGTGCACTTTAATGTTTTCTAATTTCCTACTGAAGTTATCAATGTGTTGTTCTAGTTTATTTACATGTGCTCCAAAAGGGTCGCACGCTTTAAGTCTTTCGTTCGCCTCCTTCAACTCTGTGGTTTCCATTTCTCTATGCCTTTTCTCGTTTTCATCCAAGATTTTTATCTTGAGTTTAAGTTGATGGATTATTTTTAGTGGTTAGAGTTATTCCTCCAACCTACAGCCGCATAGTGAACACGTTTGGTATCCTGAATCGAAAAAAAATGATCATTAGCTTTCATAGCAAATGCAAATGATAACATGTAATGGTTTCTTTGTCCCCAAGAGCTGCTATAAGAGTTCTTATATGGAGTGTCATCTATACAACACGAGCTAGCTATAAACATCTTAGATCACTCCAAGCAGGGATAGGGAAGACAGATTTTGCAACGACTGAATTCCCATGATTCCTGAAACAGAACTTGTTTTAGCTTCCCCACAAAGAAATTGTGTAGGTACTGTGAGTTTAATAGCTCTAACCCGCATGATCGTCAAGCAACTGCAAAAACTGTCTTTAGCTATTACAGAGGCAAAGGTTCAAACTGAGCAAAACGAATACTCGCACACCGTCATACAAGAGTCCAAAAATATTCAGCGGTGTATGGGCAATGGCCAATGTCAATTTCGAATGATTGAGTGACTGACTGACTGACTCACTGACTGACTCACTGACTGACTTACTGACTGACCGACCTATGTGTTCTTACCATATAAGTGAAATAATTAATTCAAGATGTAAATACCGGCATCCTAAATCAACGTAACTTGATGAGTTTTAGTGCCTTTTAAATCAGGTCTGATCATCTTCGATCCCATGACAGCGACCCCCTGAGATTTCGTCAGGACCTATAGACACTTCTGTTGGTTTGCTGGTCACAAATAAAGGTCTAAGAAATACTCAACTGCAAACTCGCCTTCAAATTTAAACTCGTTTAGTCCTTCAGGTAATGTCGCTGTGCCGGGGAAACTGAAGTTTTCTGGTCTTTCCAAATTTTTCTCGCGTTCGAGGGCATTCGGAATTCCATCAACCACCGTGAATTCTTCCTATAGTGAATAACAACGCGTCCTTTCTTCACAATACATTTCCACCGCTATCTGACAGAGTTTCGACGGGTTCTTAGCGCTCTTCTAATATTTTCTTAACGATACATATGTCGTCCTTCATTTAGCCGTTTAATTGTTGTCTCCAACAACTAAAACCTCGACTCCGTGACCTCCTTTTGTTGCTGGTCTTTCGTGACGGCATTAGCTTTCTCTTTTAACTTCGAATTGTGCTTTCTGCAGCAGTGGAATTCGGTCTTCATTTCCTCCTTTCCTAGAGGGAGAAAAACAAATGAGATTGTTTCTGTATTTATTTACTTATTTGGTTTTTTACACTCATTTGACTGCTGTGATACAATGGCCTATTACTGTATGTTTCAGTCAGCCAATTACATCGATTTATTTCACCTAAAACGATTGGCCTGCATCGTCATCTCTAATAAAGAGTTATCATAAGTAAAAAACCACGATGGGCCTGGTGGCAAGAAAATGACACCGCCACAGTTTTGAGAATTTATGGTAGATCAACTCGTGGGTATACTTACGTGGGTATTCGTGGGTATTTGCCGTGTAAGTGTAATGAACACTGAACCGTAATCAATCATGAATTTTGCCAGATCAAAGTCAAGACTTATACTACCTCCCTGACAAATTTTGCAAACGAAATCTGTTCAGTGAGAAAATAACTGCATGTAGAAAGAATTCTTAGGGCCGGGTATTTGTGTACTACCGTTAATCCCCGCCCTAGCTTTACAGTTTAAGAGGGGCCCTCTGTAA